AATTTAAGATATTAAAATTTGTGATAAAGAAGTAGTTGATTCTGTAGAGAATAATTTGGAAAGATATTTTATACACCTTCTATAAGCAGAACTGTGGTCTTTTAATGTTATGACTTCCACCTAAAAACTGGGATGCGCCTTTCTGTACTTTCCTGTTTTGCCAGAAGAAAGCTACAACTGGGAAGTTACAGAGGCTCTAAAATCATGGGATTGTTGTGGATGATTACACAGGAGTGCCTCTGACTGTCAAGAGGCACAGCATCCTTGGTGTGGACAGTCAGATAAATTAGTGCCACCGGAAAACTCAGAAACATTACTGCCCCTCCCTCAGCTCCCCTTAGCAAAGGCTTCTGGGAGTTAGAAGCATCTGGAAGTTGGAAATCAGGACAGCTATCTTTTCAAAAAGGTTCCCCTTTATTAAGTTTTTCTCTTCGTGCCTGATGAACTTATGAGGACTTGGCCTGTGACAGCTTCTCCCACTGCTCTCTTGACAATCTGTTTATACTCTCTAAGGAGCTCCAATTTTCATCTCACATGCATAATTGGATAAGAGGCATGGGCCACTAATAACTTTGTATCAAACCATAGAAACAATGTGTGCAACAGCCAAGGGAATTATTTGAAAGTTTCTGGCTCGGTGCCTGTGGCTCAAGTGGCTAAGGTGCTAGCCACATACACCTAAGGTGGCGGGTTCAAATCCAGCCCGGGCCCACCAAAACAACAATGATGGCTGCAACCAAAAAATAGCCTAGCGCTGTGGTGGGTGCCTGTGGTCCCAGCTACTTGGGAGGCAGAGGCAGGAGACTCGCTTGAGCCCAGGAGTTGGAAGTTGCTGTGAGCTGTGATGCCATAGCACTCTACCCAGGGGGATAGCTTGAGGCTCTGTCTCAAAAAAAAAAGAAAGTTTCTTTTCAAGTAGCTTAAAATCTTGGAAAAATGAAAGAGGTTCGAAAGAAATCTTTGGGTATTCAGTGACTAATAATTCTATCACAAATGAAATGTTTTCCTGATTGCAGGCCTTGATCATATTGCCTGGTTGATGCCTACACCCAGATTCTATATGACAGACAAAACATCTATTAAAGAGATTTGAAAATATGATTTTTTTCTTTTGATGTTTGACATATCCCTCTTTCTTTGGAAACATGAATCATGTGCTAAATTTCTGTACAATGCATTCCCCATTTGGTTAACTCCAGCAAGCACATTTCAAACATTTGATATGATACTAATATCACCAAAAGTTACTCTGAAAAGGATATTATTATGAACATTTTTGAAATCATATGTTATATTTCGGGCTGTAAGAATATTGTTAGTTAACCTTGAAGGAAATATTTTCATTTAGTGCTCTGGTGAAGAAAAGAAGATTCTGTTTCCTGTGGGTTCTGTATGCTACAGCCTTCTGAGTCATTACCAAATATGTAAATAGAGCCTGCTTGGGTCCAGACTGTAAAGTCGGTTTCAGTAGCCCTTTTCTCTCTCTTTCTCTTTCTCTCCCTTCCCACCCTCCTTCTCTCCCTCCCCTTCCTCATCCTCATTTCAGGGCACCTTTCTAGTCCTTTTCAACTATTCACTGGACTCCTCCCTTAGGTCTTTAACCTTGGAAGTTTCCCCCTATTTTTGCTCACACCTGTCATTAACACTTACCATCCTTTCTAAGACAGCAGCTCCGACTGCACTTCTGGCCAGTGCTTTCAGAATAATATTTCAAGAACTGGGCTCCCAGCTTCTGAGACTCCTCCAGATCGATGAGGAGACCGGGGAAGCGACGGATCCAGCAATCTCTGTAAAAAACGGTGGGTGAGCAGAGAGCGTCTGACGTCCACCCCATGCTCAGGAGCAGTATCACGTCTGCTGCCACCACGGCTACACGCATTTCTCTCCTGTGAAGGAAGACTCAGAGATGTGTCTGATTTCCAGGCAGAAGCTAAACATGAGGGTTTAGGAGAGTTTCTAGAACTTCTGGGCTGTTGCTAAAAGAGAGCTTCCTTGGGGCTTTTTGGGAGGGATACCATCTAGAAAAATGAGGCCATTCTTTGCACATGGATTTTTCTTTTCTTTCTTCTCAGTGGAGCCCAAGGTGAACATTTGACTTCTTGCTGTTCTTTCTGAACACTGCCCGGGTGATTTCAATGCTTTGTCCCTTAGTCTCTGGAAGACGTGGATTCTCTCCTCTGCTTTTCTTCTTTCTCTGCAAGTGAATAGGCACAGACACCTTTGGCTAAGTAAATATAAAGACAAGTGGAAATCCTAGTCCAGAGTCTTTCTGAGGAAAATAATAGTTGAGTCACTTGACGTCAGATAAGGGAAGATCCATTTCACCCGAAACAAGACATCTTTTTGTGAGGGCGCTTCTGTGTGTAGTTTTTGGAGAACTTGTGACTACAGATTTTTTTTTTTTTTAATCATTTCTTTATTTCTTTGAATTTCACTTCTGGCATTCAGGTTCTAAGAACATCAGTCTGTCCCCTGGCTTAGGTTTTTTATTCTGAAAAACAAACAAGCAAAAAAACCCTTAAGAGTAAATAAAAACTGAAAGTCAAATAAAATTTAAAATTTTAATTTTGTAGTGATTGAGAAAACGTGGAATATAGATCCCGGTCACTTCTTGTGGCCAGCTGCTTTTTTTGTAAAGTTCAGTCACAACTTTTCTTCTTAGAAGAAGCTATAAAGATTTCCACTAAAAGAAATATAGAATGCTGATAATAGAGATGGAACATGACCCCCATGAAGGTATATACCGTTCAACCAAGCGTAATTTACAGTGGAAATTGTGAATAGACTCAAGTTGGGGGATGGTCTAATCTGTTCTCTGATGGCCACATTTGCAAAGCTCTAAAGGAGACTTCTTTATGAAACACATAAAGGCATAGTATCTCTGATGGAAAAAGAAACAGTTTGCTAAGAAATATGCTTTAGGGAAATGGTTTTAAATTTCTAAATATTAACAAAATCACTGCAAATGCAATGCCAAAACAGTTGAAAGGCAGTGAAAAATGGCTTCTTTGTGAAGGTGGTGGATTCCATAGCCCATGATGTCCAAGGTAACAAGTTAGTTCAAAGCAGACAACTGTTACTTTACCATATCTATTTTTGTATGAAGCATGAGTACTAATCAGCTTTTGGCATGAAGTACTGTTCCTTTAAAAAAAAAAAAAAAAACGAGGAAACTTTTTCTAACCTGTGCTCTGTGTTTCTTTTGTACCTTTTAGTACAATGACTCATTCACTTACTTAACACAAAAATGTTAACATTCTTTGAATTTTCATCTTTTCACCTGTTTCCTAATAATAGGCAGCCTAATTATCACGTATCTTTTGATTTTAGAAACATGTAATATTAATAATTGACAATAAAGAGGAAAATACTTAAGATTGAATAACTTTAAAAAAGAAACATTTCACTTTCTTCTGAGCAAAAGTTACATCATGCACTAACTCCTAACCTTGCATAAGCCACATAAAATATGCTAAGAAAGATGAACACTTCATTCTAATGAACTTCTTATAGAAAGTAAGTTTTAGCTGCTTACCTGCAAAGACCCAGACTATTCCATCTGTTCTGAAAGGCGAGGGAAGAGAGATTGTCTAATGGCAAAGCATGGGTCCGTTGAGTAACAAAAAATTACTTCCTGTTTTTTTCTGAAATTCTATAGCTATTTCTATTAGAAAATGCCCTACAGACATAAACTGAAAAGTCTGTTTTCTAATCTGATGACCTCCCAGTCTTCGAGTCAAATCAAATGAAGTTTCTTTTGTGTGATATATAATTTCTTGAAGTTCTCATGTTCCCTGCAGGGATAATGGAATAATCCACAACACTTTAACCCTTTTGCAGTCAAATAATATTCAGATGGAGAAAAAAGCTGCATTTTTTTTTTTTAGACGGAGTCTCACTTTATTGCCCTTGATAGAGTGCTGTAGCATCATAGCTCACAGCAACTTCAAACTCTTGGGCTCAAGCGATTCTCTTGCCTCAGCCTCCCATGTAGCTGGGACTATGGGCACCCGCCACAATGCCTGGCTAGGGATGAAGTCTCGCTCTGGCTTTGGCTCCGGCTGATCTCTAACCCCTGAGCTCAGGCAATTCACCTGCCTCGGCCTCCCAGAGTGCTAAGATTACAGGCATGAGCCACCGTGCCTGCCTCAAAGATGCATTTTAAAGAACCTACAAATTCTGATGTGAACGCACGCTTTAAAATGAAAAAAACACATTTTTGTGGTGATTGCACAAATATTAAGTCTGGAAGTGACTTGACTTCTCAGGGCTAAGTATTTTGTAAAGGAATGGTAGAAAATGGAAGGCAGGGCATAGAGAGGAACCCATGCCAGTCATACTTGTTCTTGTGAGATGAAATTGCAGAAATCATGAAGCAGCTACAACTTTAAAAGTTGGTGTACAGCCTTTGCTACAAATCTCAGCAAATACCCAGAACCATTATCCTTCGCAATCTGATGATACATTTGTTTCCAATAGGGTGCTTTTGAGAGAGGTTCAAAAAGTATGATTCATACCTTAAAAATCACTTATGTCCTCTGACAACCTGGTTCTGTATTTCCTGAGGTGGGGGTGGGGGCGGGGGCAGGACTGTTATTTTTACAAGTGTCCCAAGTGATTTCTGAAGATTTTTGGAGAACACTGATATGGATGACTGAAATAAATGGAAGTTTTGCCTACGCGAGTGTGCTCAAATTGAATTAAATAGAGCCATTTTTAAAACCTTGTACTACTTTTGTCTCATGTAAATCCCTTCATAAGCTTTGATGAAAGGAAGGCATTTCAGTTTTGCTTGTTAAAAACAAAAAGGAATGGGTGGTGCTGTGGTTCAATGGGTAGGCCGGCCCCATATACTGAGGGTGGCGGGTTCAAGCCCAGCCCCAGCCAAACTGCAACAAATTTTAAACAATTTAAAAAAAAAAAAATTTAAAAAAACTAAACAAAAAGAAATAAAGTTTTAGGGACATTGGAAGAAAAAAAAACCAGATAAATAATTTTTAAGTAGTGAAGTAATAGCATAGGTTTACTAAATTCAAAAGACATTTGGAAAATGGTCAATTTTTCACCCTTAGTTTAAAACTGCAAATTGCATTATTTACTTAACATTTCCATTTCATTTATTGTTGAAATGAATGGGTATTACTTTAAAAAATGGGCTTGAAAATTTTAAATGTCATTAAAATCTTTTCTGCTCTTATTAAATTGGTATATAGAAAAGTACAAAAAGAAATAAAATTATTAAACCGCTTACAATCTTAACATCTTGGTTAATGTTTTTCTGGATATTGCTATTTTAAAAAATATATAAGCCATCAGAAGACGGAATGATGACAAGTTTAGTTTAAAGATCTTAATTGGTTTTTATTTGTCATTCCAGAATTGGGCAACATTTCATTTTATAAAATCCAATAAGCCCAGGAGGGGAGGTGGGATTTATTTATGTAAGCGGGTCAAAAAAAGCAGAAACAGACAATACAAAGCAGATTGGTTATTTCAAAATTTTGTTTTTGGTAAAAGTTAAGGTGGAGGACACTTCCTTATGCTGGCTGAAATGGTCTGTTTGGGGATTTGGTATTATCTCTATTATGATTAGATCTTAGTTTTGGCCCATGATCTACATTAAAAGTTATAATGGCTCTGTGATATTTCATTCTACCATGCCAAAATGTACTCTGGGACTCAGTTTCCTCAGTTGTTAATTTTTTTTGAGATAGGCTCTCACTCTGTTGCCCAGTCTGGTCTCGAACTCCTGGCCTCAAATGATCCTCCAGCTTTCCAAAATGCTAGGATTATAGATGTGAGTCACCAAGAGAAATCATGCTATAAGATATAAAAATAGTAGTGTAATCCTTCTAAAGGACTTACAGCAATGCCTAGCACACAATAAACTCAATAAATATAGTATATGTTATATTGTTTTCCAGTTTTTTATTATTAAGAGCAATACCGTGATAAACATACTAGAAATTTTTTCTTCTTGCTAGGTCAAAAGGGATATTTTCCAAAAAAATCTTTAAAAAGCTTTGCCTTACTCTGTCTGACTCTACTCTTTTGTGTTAAATAAAATATGGTGGCCAGGGGCAGTGGCTCACGTCTGTGATCCCAACAATCTGGGAGGCTGAGGCAAGAGGATTGCTTGAGCTCAGGAGTTCCAGACCAGACCAGCTTGAGCAAGAGGAAGACCTCATTTCTACTAAAAATAGAAAAATTAGCCAGGCATTAAGGCTACTTGGGAGGCTGAGGCAGGAGGATACCTTGACCCTCCCAGGAATTTGAGATTGCTGTGGCAAAGCTGATGCCATGGCACTCTACCCTAGGGAACAAAAAAAAAAAAGAAAGAAAGAAAGAAAACAACCCCTCCCCCAACTGTATGGTGATAAAAAATACTTGATCATAGTACCATAAAGGCCAATCTTTATTATTCCATGATCAGTCAGTGATGGATCTTAAAATTATATCTCCAATTAAATAAAACAATATTTTCTTTCCTTTCCTTTTCTTTCTTTTTTTTTTTTTTTTGAGACAAGAGTCTCATTCTGTTGCCCTGGATGGAGTGCAGGGGAGTCCTACCTCATAGCAACCTCAACCTCAAAGTCTTGGGCTCAGGCAATCCCCTTGCTTCACCTTTCCAGTAGCTGGGACTACAGGTGCCACTATAATGCCTGCCTGCCTAGTTTCTATTTTTTTTTTTTTTTTTTTGAGACAGAGCCTCAAGCTGTCCCCCTGGGTAGAGTGCCATGGCATTACAGCTCACAGCAACCTCCAACTCCTGGGCTCAAGCGAGTCTCTTGCCTCTGCCTCCCAAGTAGCTGGGACCACAGGCGCCCGCCACAAGGCCCGGCTATTTTTTGGTTGCAGCCGTCATTGTTGTTTTGGCGGGTCCGGGCTGGGGATTCGAACCCGCCACCTTAGGTGTACATGGCTGGCGCCTTAGCCA